TTTGACACCATGGAATAGACAGGCAAAAGAGAGACCCCATAAAAGGGAGGGAAGAAGGGTGGGAAGCTCATATATTTCTCACTTCATCTGTTCATATAATGCACAGTTATTTTGCATCAACGATTGCATTTGATACCCGATTAATTTGCCGGAATTTCAGTAGGTCATTTTGGTGTTAACAGCTTCTGCCACCTTAGGAAAGCAGTCAGTAAAAAAGAATATAATTTTATCAAATTCTACATTTTATAACCTTTCTATAGATATATAGTTTGTGGGGGTTTCCTTCAAAACAGCGTGCGTATGAATTTTCTTCTGGAGGTCACCCACAAAGGTAACCTTAAGCTACAAAATTGAAGTAAGTTAAGTAAAATTAAATAATTAAATAATTCATATAGCTCGAATATTAGACCTTTTCCTCTGATATGTGGTGAAAAGTATTCCTATATGACTGGAATTAAAACCATCATTTCTCTTTGGATTGAATCATTTATAGCTGAGGAATTCGCAATTATGTGAACGTGCCCATACATTGTCTATAATGGTGTTCCCATACATGCTCTGTGAGTTGACATCTAATTTTTTCTAGCTTGCGTATTAGAGCTATAGATATGGAATTTAGCATATATGCATCTTTGACTTCAAAACTATTCATTTTGCTTTTTGATTGAATTTTTTATAGCTGAGTAACAAGAGTTATACTAGGGCGGCGAAGCAGCCTGAAGTTATAATTCAAAGTGTTAATCACAAAGCATCAATCTCTCAAAGTGTGTCAGCATTTTCTTTCATTTTTATTGGTTATCTTTTTATAGATCTGTCAAGTTCCACTGTCGAAAAATTCGTGTAACGTGTTGTGTTAGAGACCGCCACGACAAAAGTATTTAAAATAAAAGAATTTGCCAACATGTTTTTGTTCCACAACTATCAGTGAATGTTCTGGCCAAATTTCAAGGAAAACTGTTGATTCTACATACCCTATTGATTCATTTAAAGAGGAGGGATTCTCTCGAAAAACGAGTGCAAGTATTGGTCTTCTAAAGATTTATAAACATGTCACGCCTTCTCAGAGGGATACTATGTCAACTCAAAATGCCGCCAGCCAATGAAATAACAGAACCTCTAGTGTTCACAGTAAGGAAAGTTGAGCTTNATTTTCTTCTGGAGGTCACCCACAAAGGTAACCTTAAGCTACAAAATTGAAGTAAGTTAAGTAAAATTAAATAATTAAATAATTCATATAGCTCGAATATTAGACCTTTTCTTCTGATATGTGATGAAAAGTATTCCTATATGACTGGAATTAAAACCATCATTTCTCTTTGGATTGAATCATTTATAGCTGAGAAATTTGCAATTATGTGAACGTGCCCATACATTATCTATAATGGTGTTCCCATACATGCTCTATGAGTTGACAACTAATTTTTTCTAGCTTGTGTATTAGAGCTATAGATATGGAATTTAGCATATATGCATCTTTGACTTTAAAACTATTCATTTTGCTTTTTGATTGAATTTTATATAGCTGAGTAACGAGAGTTATACTAGGGCGGCGAAGCGGTCTGAAGTTATAATTCAAAGTGTTAATCACAAAGCATCAATCTCTCAAAGCGTGTCAGCATTTTCTTTCATTTTTATTGGTTATCTTTTTATAGATCTGTTAAGTTCCACTGTCGAAAAATTCGCGTAACATGTTGCGTTAGAGACCGCCATGACAAAAGTATTTAAAATAAAAGAATTTGCCGACATGTTTTTGTTCCACACCTATCAGTGAATGTTCTGGCCAAATTTCAAGGAAAACTGTTGATTCTACATACCCTATTAATTCATTTAAAGAGGTAGGGTTCTCTCGAAAAACGAGTGCAAGTATTGGCCTTCTAAAGATTTATAAACATGTCATGCCTTCTCAGAGAGATACTATGTCAACTCAAAATGCCGCCAGCCAATGAAATAACAGAACCTCTAGTGTTCACAGTAAGGAAAGTTGAGCTTTGCGGTAAAGCAATAGTGTTACACACACCTTTTAGACGCATATGTTTTAGGCTGGTGGTCAACAATAAAGGGCAAAACGGAGAAAAAAAAACAAACTGAGGAGCAGTTGCCGAAGTGTGATTACAAAAATGCACTCTTAACCATGAAATCTCAAATTGAAAGTATTTGATATAGGATCTCTGGATTGAGCTGTTTGCCATGAAAAGGTCGCTGAGAAGTCCATGCCTTTTGGGGATTATGACACCTTGACGGTTTATTAACTTTTATTAAAAAACCTTTTTTTCCCAATAACTCGCCCATGTTTTAATATTTTATTTTCATTTTTTTGGAAAATGTGACTTTGAATAATGAACTTTAATTTGGTTGAAAAAAAGAAAATTTGGAAAAGTAGCCCCGCGAAGGTTTTGAGTAACCTTAATACTGCAAAGAGTACGGGATCTAGACATATTAATTTACCTCCATGATCAGTCAATTCTCCCCCAGGTCGTTTTGAAGGCTGGTTATCAAATGGGTCTAATGGCCTTTTGTCCTTTTCCGTTGAAATTGGCCTGCTTTCTGATGAACCTACCAGAAGGAAAATGACAACAAAAATATTAAATCCTTTTGCAACACTTGATTACAACTTGGTAGTAATTTAGGTTACATAATTATCACATCTTGTTACATATATTTCACCAAATCTTGTTCTAACCTACTTCCAATGATTTTATTTCAACAAAACAGTAACGGAAAATTGGTGTTGAACCATAATCAAGTTAAACGTTTGGGCATAGTGAGAGCTTACACAAGGTCATTTGTAGTTCTCCCAACTTCACTCAAATGTTCTTGTTTTGTTAACATATACATTGCAATTGTTGGTTTGACATGAATAGAGCAAGTGACCGATTCATGCATGATCTCACATTCAATCAAACTTTTTGTTGATGCCTAGTAGCCTTTGATAAGCATGCTGGCTTAATTGCGAGTAATATATTTGTTACTAAATGTTTCAGTGATTCTCGAGAGAAATGAGACATGTATTGGGAGAAACAGAATGCATCTCAAGACAAATGAGACGTGTCTGGCAAGAAACAAGATGAGAAATGGTAACCTAAGCCATCCCTCAAAGTTAAAGTCACGACAGGAAAGTTCACTTCAGAGTTCTTGTTGTGAGAAATGTTTTTCATGTTAGATGTTTTTGAAGGTGTAAAGGACTCCATGGTTACCATGGAAAGAGCTGCTTTGTACAGGAAAAAGAATTACGGTCAAGTAATTACTGATGTTCTAATAGCAAGGGTGGGTAATCACAAGAGAATTTGAGGACATCTTGTGGGAGTTTTCTGAAGACTTAACCTAATGACTGAACTCAGTGTACGCAGAACATTTTTCAATAGAGTGCAAAACTTGAGAAGTTGATGAAGATAAACCTTTTTCATAACATTCACTTAGGTGAAGTTGTAGCCAACCCAAATAAATCTTCTGCGACTCTCCCCAGGTGACAGCTAGTTTAGTACATCAGGTTAACTATTTATGTTTCCTGGGGATAAAGGTTAGTTCTCCTGTATTTCTTATTTCAGTAATAATGTTTGATACTGTAATAAAGCTTTTCTGAACCATACGCGACTAGTTTATTTGTCACTAAATCTGGTTGTTTTTGACAGAGTGGAGTCACATTTCAGTGTGTTTCTTTTGTCTGCTAGAGGCTATTTCTCTCAACATTGACATTGTGTTAAATTTCCTGAATTTTGCAAATTCAGGATATCTGGATCTGCCTGTTGACATTTTGAGATCTCGCTGAGATACTCGGTGAGTTTTTGGCTGCTGAGATCTTGCCAATCTCACTGGCCACATAGTCACCGAGATTCTCAGCAAGATCTCGGCAAGATCTCAATTAAAATTTTGCACGGGTCTTGGCCTCTAAACATAAATAAAACCATGATCGAGTTTTTACCAAAAAAATGCAATGCAATTACATTTAACACAACATTAAAAAAATTCTGGAAAAATTTACACGTACAGAGCTTCTATGATGTGAGGGAACCATAACATGATGATAGTGAACTTTAGTACTGGGTAGTGAAGATCAACAAACTCTCAAACCTGGATGTGCATAAATTAAAACAGGATACAGAGTTTTGGACAATAAAATTAGTAATAACGGTAGGAAAGTAAGATTTTATACTTACTCGACTGATAAGTTTGAGTGACCCCAGTGAAAGGAAACTGATTTAAAAATTTTCTCACAGACATAATGATATGTGTCATCTAAAAAGCTTCAAACAGTTTCACAAACCAAATTTAAATATGTTGGCCGTAAGCAATAAAGATAGCCAAACTCTTTGTCAGAGCTTCATCTAGACACAATTTCAAACATGACACAAAGTTTTAAACCCCAAATAATAATTGCTATACATTTTTCATCTTACTTTCAATGTGGCTTGTCTGGACGTGGCCTGTCTGATACAACTGAGTGTAAGACTGAGTGACTGGGGTCAATGACAACTGATTGCCTTCCACTGATGAAGCTGGCCTTCCATGACCAAAGGAGCCTTTCAGAAGAAAACCAAAACAAAACCTGTCAAAAATTTGAAAAATGTTGAACAGAAGTTGTGCAAGAAGGTACAGGTTAAGGTGAGCCTCTTATCATTTTGTGAAGTCGTACATGTACACAATCATTTCTCCTACTCACTCTGATTGTGCCTTCCCTGAAAGTTGTGTCCTTCATGACTCTGACTTGTTACAGAAGAAAGCAACGGACTGCATGTCACTGATGAAGGCAGACAGATATCAATTACACCAATTTTAACTGCAAGCAATGACTAAAAGTTTGAACTTTACACCTCCATTTTTGACAACAAACTTGTTTCTGCACAAAAATATGTAGGGCTCGAAAAAATACCCATCCGTTTGTCTGGGACAATGACAATTTCCCCTTGGGCAAGTAACTTTCTCTCCTCACTTGCCTCATTGGCAAGAGCCTAGGCAAGCTGTCCACCAACTAAATTTTTGATAACGATTTTGAACCGAGTAAATTTTTGGTGCATGGAAAGTGTTTAGATGGATCTTGACAAAAATGAAATTTATGGCGTTGTTTTGTTGATTGCATGGTACTTGTTCACAGTTCAGAAATGGTTACCTAGCATGTGATCAAAATTTGCCCTGATCAAAGTTCTTTCTATGACTAAAAGTAACTGTGACCACGAAAATGCTGTGTTTATTTCTTAAAATTTCAGCAGTATTTTGCCAGGCTTTTTGGTGAGCATTTACCAGTTTCACCGTAAAAAAAAACAACACAAACTCGACATAATTGTATCAGACAGCTGTAGAAGCTGTACAGGAAAAGAAGCCGTATATTTCTACCACGAAAATGAATCCCTTGCCAGCAACTAAAAATCTCTGTGTCTATCTTCCCCAAACATACAAGTTTTCTAACAGAAATATAAGCTTACTTAAGGCACTGCCAGACTATTAAAACAAAATTGATGTGCAGTCATTAAAAAATTTGACGCAAAATAGTATTTCATTCAAACGCAGATGTTTTCATTCAATTTAAACTATTTATCAACTACCTAAAAGAAAAAAATATGCACTTGCCGGCTTTTCAAAATCAACATGGTGCCTGTTTCAGAACTGAAGAGGAGAAACAAACTTGTTTTCTATTCTACTTGTTTTAAATTTTATGTGATTCCCTTCAAAATGATATTTTTGAAGTTAGGGAAGATGCAGTGTAATGTTCAAGGAGTCACACACAACCCAGTTCCACAGACTGAAAACAGTGATTCAAGGATTTTTTAAGATACCCAGCGCTTAATTCAGGAAACAGCAAATGAAACTGATCAAAACTAAGAAGATTACAAGCAAGTCAGACAGGTTATTACATTCGAATATACCAGTGAATAACCATTTTTGGGTTCATGAATTATTAATAAGTTTGAAAACTTGGGCAAGTGGGGAAGTGCCCCGGGCAAGCAATATTTAAGCATTACTTGCCCAAAAGGGTAAGCTGGAATTCAAATATTTTTCAAGCACTGATATGAAACAAGAATGATGACCGGACATACAAGCAC